AAGATATAAGCTCATTCTGATGTTACACTCATCAAGAGCTTTCATTTGAGTACCCACATACATTTTTTATATATTTTTCATATGTATATATATATAATATATATAAATATATGAAAAATTGATGTGGATACTTAAATGAAAGGTCTTGATGAGTGTAACATCGGGATGCGCTTATATCTTTAAAAACGTCAATAATTAAGAAATGAACATGTATCTTGTGAACTATTGACATTTTTAAAGATATAAGCTCACCCCGGCATTAAACTCATCGAGAGCTTTCATTTGAGTACCTACAAGCATTTTTGATATATTTTTCATATATACATATATATAATATACATAAATATATGAAAAAATTGATGTGGGTACTCAAATGAAAGGTCTTGATGAGTGTAACATCGAGATGAGCTTATATCTTTAAAAATGTCAATAGTTAAAAAAATACAGAGCAATTTAATAAAGCATAATTTTATTTAATTATATTTCACAAGACACGGCAGTCACATAGTGACTGCAAACTTACTAGTATTTTTTATCAGTTTATGAATTAATATTTTCCTCATAACTATATTCACCAAGTACAAAATAATTAAATAACTTATTATTCAAAATTAACTATCTTAAAATTGAATACTAAAATTTGAAAAATCCTAAATTTAGGTCAAAACTTTATAAATGATACTGAATTAAAAAAAAAAGCCACTTTATCATCTAAATATGTGGGGAACATAATTTTTTTTATTCTCTTGATAATATAGATAGTCTAATGATTTAATGAATATATTTGCAGAGCCGAGGTGATTAGAGAAGTGTGGAATCCACAAGTTGAACTTGTGGTAACGAAGACGGCCAGTGTAGCAAGGGATAATCCGAGGAAGCTGGAGCCCATCACACGTGTCGAGGCTCTTAGTGCCGACTGCAGCACGGGGCGGAGGAGAAACCCGATATGAACGCCAGCGTTAATGTCGAGAGGAATTCCTGGCGGCTGCCTCCCGACGAGACCGTCCAGGTTGCCGATCCTCGGACCAAGGAAGAGATAAAAGAGGTATTTCAGCTCTTTCGAGTTTCCCCCAGTTATATACTTGACTTTTTAATTACCGTTGATCCGGTCCATTATTAAGCCTTTCACCGGCATAACGAACTAATTTTTTAATTAACAGAGCGACTGACCAGTTTTTATTTTCCTTTTTAGGATTCATACGGCGACAGCGGACACAACTGGAAGAGTATTATATTTGCATTACTAGTTATTGGATTCGTAATAGCCGGAATCGTCACGGCAATTTATCTTCTAGGGTAAGGGTGATAATTGATAGTCATTAATTATCGATTAAATAAATTAATTATTCGACGGAAATTTGTTAATAATAGACTTGCATGTTTGAATTATTACTCCAGTATTTGTTAGTATTATCATTGTATAAGTGTTGTTTCTTTCTTTTTTCGGCTCTATTTGTTTGTTTTTCATTTTGTCAGCGAGCGTTTGATTGCTTTCTCAATTATCATCAAGCTGGATTAATCATTTGTAATTGACAATTTAGTTAAGCTGTAGTATTGATCTTTTTAATCGAGTGAAAGAATGTAACACTTTTTTATTTATTTATTTTTTATCGTTTTTTAGGAAAAATTTTTTCATGTAAAAATGAATTTTTTCATTGCAATTCAATTTTATTTTTTAGTTATTATTAAATCGATTATGTCAATCAATAAAAAATATGATTAATGAAACGTTACTAAAATAATGAAATTGATGTCAATACTTTAAAAATTCAAAAAATTATTATTATTTTTATCTATATTATTGAGAGAATAAGAAACATTTTGTATCCAGGGTAATCAGATGATAAAATCGGTTTTTATAGTAACATTTAGTGTCATTGCAAAGGTCTTGACTTGAATTTGTGCCTTTTCAAGGTTTCATATCACCTTTACCGGTAGTCAATTTATTATAATAATTATTTAGGCTGCATTCGAAAATTATCTCTAGATACATAATTAAGAAATGAACTTGTATCTTGTGAACTATTGACATTTTTAAAGATATAAGCTCATCCTGATGTTACACGAATTAAGAGCTTTCATTTGAGTACCCACACAATTTTTCATATATTTATATATATTATATATATGTATATATGAAAAATATAAGTGGGTACTCAAATGAAAGCTCTTAATTCGTGTAACATCAGGATGAGCTTATATCCTAAAAAATAACAATAATTAAGAAATTACCTTGTATCTTGTCAACTATTGACATTTTTAAAGATATAAGCCCATCTCGACATTACACTCATCGAGACCTTTTATTTGAGTACCTACATCAATTTTTCATATATTTTATATATTTATATATTTTACAAATACCACATATATAAAATATATAAAAAATTCCATGTGTATACTCAAATGAAAGGTCTCGATGAGTGTAACATAGGAATGAGCTTATATCTTTAAAAATGCCAATAATTAAAAAATTACATTGTATCTTGACAAATAATGATATTGTTAAAGATATAAGCTCATCTTGACATTACACTAACCAAGACCTTTCATTTGAGTACCCACATCAATTTTTCATATATTTTATATATTTATATATTTCACAAATACCATATTTATAAAACATATCAAAAATGCTATGTGGGTACTCAAATGAAAGCTCTTGATGAGTGTAACATTGGGATGGGCTTATATTTTTAAAAATATCAATAATTAAGAAATGACCTTGTATCTTGTCAACTATTTACATTTTCAAAAATATAAGCCCATCTCGACATTACACTCATCGAGACCTTTTATTTGAGTACCCACATCAATTTTTCATATATTTCATATATTTATGTATTTCAAAAATACCATATACATAAAATATATGAAAAATTTCATGTTTGTACTCAAATGAAAGCTCTTGATGGGTGTAACATCGGGATGAGCTTATATCTTTAAAAAAGTTTATGTTTAAGAAGTACCGTGCATTTTAACAAAAGTCATTATTTAATAAACCAAAATTTTATTTATTTATACTTCGCAAGTCACGGCAGTCACGTAGTGACGGCAAGGTTGCTAGTTATTATGACTATTGTTATTATTATTGAAACAATAGTGATTAAATGAAAGGAAATAAATCAATTAATTGATTTAATTGGCGATTAATGTACAGATACGTAGACGAGCTATTGTATTGGAGCGGTAGACGTCTCACACTAGAAGAGTGCCTTCAAGAGGACCTATCACCTCGTCGGTTGCCACCCGCCTGGGTAACTCATGATAAATTCGTTTACCAAGCTGACGATGGTTCATTAGCGCTTCTCGATACTTCCAACAATTCCGTCTCGCTACTAGTCTCCAATCACACTCTCGTAAGTAAATTATAAATATTAACACTGAAACATAATTATAATTTAAATTGAAAATAAAAATCCTCTTAAAATAGATATCCTAGTTTCCAACAAATCCCATTTGTTAAAACTAAATAATAAATGTTGACCATTAATTATAAATTACCAGAGACAGCTCAACGTTCAAGGCTTCCAGTGCAGCAGTAATCTACGGTACGTGCTTTTTAAGCACGATGTTAAACCAGTAAGTGTTTAGCAATTAACCGATTATCCCTCGGTATATTGATTTTGTTTTGTCAGCTAACAGATGTTAAATGTCCGCTTGTCCCAATTTTTAAAAAATAACACTTTAATCCCCCAGGTATTCAAGCACACGTTCACCGCGCTCTACACAGTCTACGACGTCACTAACGAGTAAGTACATACTAAATAGTATTTGCTACCGTAAGCCCGTTTCACCTATCAAAAGATGACGTATAGAGAAGGCTCTGTAATAAATTACTCTAGCCACCATACTCCCCTACGTCTTCACGCCTCGCCGCGGGTCCAGCCAACTAGACTGCAGTACACCGCCTGGTTGGGTAACAGCACATCGCTATTGATGATATCCGATAACAATATATTCTTAAGAATGTCGCCGTCGGCGCCAGAAGACAAGCGACTGACTGACACTGGAGTGCCTGGTATTATTTACAATGGAGTCCCAGACTGGCTTTATCAGGAGGAAGTGCTTCCCAAACCTGAGGCACTCTGGCCTAGTCCTGACGGCAGTCTGCTCCTCTACGCTTCTTTCAATGACACCAAAGTAAGTTTGCTTGTTTCGAGAGATTGTAAAGTATAAAATTATATTTCACATTTATAAAATTTTCTTCACATCTAAATCATAAACAATAAGAAATTTATTAAAAGTGATTGAATCAAAATAGACTATCAAATCATTATTATTTTACAAAGCTTTGGTTGCGTATGTAGTCTTCATCTGGTTCTAAAAATTTATATTAATTATAAAGATAAATCATTTTTTTTTTTTTTTTCAAAAAAAATTACATTCATTAAAATATATATTTTTAATAGAAATTTGACACATGGTCACCGATATTCAATTTATGATGATTTGATGATAAGTATTTAGGCTGAATTCGAAAATTCTCTATCTCTAGATACATAATTAAGAAATTACCTTGTATCTCGTGAACTATCGACATTTTTAAAGATATAAACGCATCCCGATGTTACACTCATCAAAACCTTTCATTTGAGTACCCACATCAATTTTTCATATATTTATATGTATTATATATATGTATATATGAAAAATATATCAAAAATGCATGTGGGTACTCAAATGAAAGCTCTTCATAAGTGTAACATCGGGATGAGCTTATATCGTTATAAATTTCAATAGTTAAAAAAATACAGGACATTTAAACAAATATCTTGTGAACTATTGATATTTTTAAAGATATAAGCTCATCCCGATGTTACAATATTCAAGAGCTTTCATTTAAGTACTCACATTAATTTTTCATATATTTTATGTATTTATATATATTTATATATATATGAAAAATATATAAAAATGCATGTAGGTACTCAAATGAAAGCTCTTGATAAGGGTAACATCAGGATGAGCTTATATCTTTAAAAACGTCAATAATTAAAAAAGTACAGTACAATTTAACAAAATTCATTATTTAATAACGCAAAATTTTATTTATTTATATTTCATTAATTACGGCAGTCACATAGTTAACAATATTGCTAGTTAACACTAAAAATAATGATTTTTTTAATTTATAAATATTTCTTTAAAAAAATCATCTATTGATATAATTAATGTACATTTTTAGAACCTGATAAAATAAAAAAAAAAATAGTTAAAAATGACATAATAGTCCAATTACCTTCAATCACAAATTTCTTCTCGAAAATAAAATTTCCTCGACTAATTTTTCAATTACTGCCTAAAATTCAGAGGATTAATTTTCCCTGGTGCTCTTAATTGTTAGTTAATTGGATAGTTAATATATATATATATATGTATATGTACATGTAGTTAGCTCCAGTGTATACTTTAGTTGTTAGAGTTGACGGGCGATTTGTACGTAAATTGTCTCTCATCATGTAATTTGTTATTCAGGTCACGTCTCTGGAGTTTCCGTGGTTCGGGAATCAAATGGGTCAGGATGGTGCTAGCTCGAGTCCAGCGGGTATTGTTAAGAAGGGATCCTTTCCACCATCAAAATCCGTGAGATATCCGACGCCCGGCTCACCGAATCCCGAAGTCTGTTTGTGGATTCACGATCTCACCAACATTACCGCCGATACAACTAATGAAACTTTAATTACTTCTTTAGACAGGATAATGCTCAAACCACCGACAACTCTCGATGGCCAGTAAGTTTTAAACTGCACTTGCACTTTTATAACCGATTTTATAGCTAACTAAATTGCTGGATAGTTCTTTAATGCCGAACCTCTTTGCTAAATTTTATTTAATGATTAACTCGCTTTAAATTCTACCGAGTTCATGCTCTCTGTTTTAAGCTATTCGTTGGAGTTCCAAAAGACCAAAAGGACTCTAATTACAAAGAGAATATCTCATAAACTTGGCTAATGCTCTTTTAACAGACATTTTTTCTACGCGTTGGATTTCGGGCAGCATTGCTGTGTCTGCTTCTATATTTTAGAGTAATAAGATAAATTCTTATTTAAAACGCGGTACAAAAGATTTATTATTTTTTTTTATTTTCCGTGTTATGTATTCGGTTTAGTTTAAAATACTTGCGAGTATTTTAAAACTCAAGTGTTGTGTCTAGTTATACATGATTATTGTTATTATTCTGGGAGTTTTTTTTTTAAGAGTAAATAATGACATTCAAAGAGAAGTTATGGATGATATATATGAGACAGGAATTGTCCATTAAATTATAGATACGACATAGACTATACTATTTTATGGGTGATTTTATCTGCAGTGCATTGTACGTGTGCAGAAATAAAAGAACGGGGAATAGAGATTCTGAGGTTTTGTCAAGTATTACTCTTTGTTTTTCAACGCTGATAGAACTGTTAATAAATTTATTTATTTAGGAACTGTTTATTGATTTATTAAGTATAAAAAATTATTTTTTAACTTTTGATAAATATTTTTTTTAAGAGGAAAAATTTTATTTATTAACAGTTTAATAGTTTATTAATAGTTAATAAATGTCTTTAAGCCTTGATGATTTTTGCTGTTACTCTTTAGTTTTTTTTTAAATCAAAAACTATACAAAAAAAAATTTTATTTTCTTTAATTTCAGTTTTCAATATTTATTTTGTTAGCGATAATTTTTTTAACAATAAAATTTTGACACTCTTTTTATTCAAAGATCCAAATAAATTTTTAATAACGCCAAAAAAAAATTTATTAGAAATCAAATAATATTAATTGATAGAACTGTTAATAAATTTATTTATTTAGGAACTGTTTATTGATTTATTAAGTATAAAATATTATTTTTTAACTTTTGATAAATATTTTTTTAAGAGAAAAAATTTAATTTATTAACAGTTTAATAATTTTTTATAGTTTATTAATAGCTAATAAATGTCTTTAGGAGTTTCTGATTCTTGCTTGCTATTACTCTTTATTTTTTTTTTTAATTCAAAATTGAGACAAAAAAAAATTTGTATTTTCTTTCATTTTAGTTTTCATTATTTATTTTATCAGCGATAATTTGTTTAAAAATACAATTTTGACACTCTTTTTAATCAAAAATCCAAATAAATTTTTAATAACGCCAAAAAAAATTTATTAGAAATCAAATAATATTTATTGACTAAAAAAAATTTTCAACGCTGATAGAACTGTTAATAAATTTATTTATTTAGGAACTGTTTATTGATTTATTAAAAATAAAAAATTATTTTTTATCTTTTGATAGATATTTTTTCAAGAGAAAAAATTGAATTTATTAACAGTTTAATAATTTATTAATAGTTAATAAATATCTTCAGGACTTGATGATTCTTCCTATTACTCTTTATTTTTTTTTTTTATTCAAAAACTAGACAAAAAAAAATTTTGATTTTCTTGAATTTTAGTTTTCATTATTTATTTTATTAGCGATAATTTTTTGTAACATTAAAATTTAAACTTTTTATTCAATAATCCAAATAAATTTTTATTAACGCCAAAAAATATATAAAAAATAATTATTGAATCTAATATTAAAAAAAAATTTAATAAAGCTTATTAAAGATTGAAAAATTCTTTAATAACTGCGTATTAAAAAATATTTTTATGACTAAAAAAAATAAAATTAAAAAAACATGTCATTCGTGTGAACATGTATTCCATCCAACACATTTACATTAACATTTAAGAATATTTTATACTGTCGGTTAAATTTTTTAGTGCTTCCTGAGGGATCGGGAACAGAGCTCGTGATAAAATCTGGTAATAAAAAATAAAATTTTAGTACTGTTAAATAGTTTGTACGCCCGGCAGCAGTTTATACATTTTAAATGTTCACATGGTTGTTTTATTTTATTTATTTATTTAGTTGTCGACACATGTTTTTTCAGTCAATAAATTATTTAGAATAAATGTTTCGCCACATGACCACCATTTAAATAAAAGTGAACAGAGTTTAATTACTTTTTTCCGTCTAGCAGCTATCGAGCGAATAGAACAGCGAACACCGAAGCGATATTTGAAAATTGGAAATTAACTAATTAGTTTATTACTTTATTAGCAATTATTAAATGTCAAGATTCTAAATCATTTTTCAATGTAATGGCTTTGCACTTTTTACCCGCGGGAATTCGGGGCGCAGTAATAAAGGATAAAAAAGTAAAATGATGGATTGCGTATAGTTGAGATTTTATCGAGTTTCCGTAGATCGGAACGCGCCCGACAAAACCAGAATTAAAAATTCAATTGGCTTTTTTAATTCCAATATCAAAGCGAGTCAATCTCAAATGGTATCACTTTTTTTTATTAGACTGTTCGCTTTGTAATGCTGCACTTTTTATGCAATTATATCGCGCTAAATGAATTGTAGATACAAATTAAAGCGAGTGTTCAGATCGGCGTTGGCCTTTTTTTTTTACTTTTTTTTTTTCCCGACTTTAAAGTGCACCAGCCGAGCTTCACCTTTCAAGTCTATCGATTTAAATTCATAAGAACTTGTAATGAGAGCTTCATAAATTTTAATTCACTTCTATTTCTTTAATTAAACATATAAACTTTGATTATTCAAATTCTTTGAATTATTTACGGGTTACACGCCAAGTAATTCATTGATAAGCCAAATGTTAATTTAGTTAATTAATTTATAAAAGCTAGAGGGCAACGCGGTAAACTTTTTTTTATCATTATTATACACATTTAAAGTTTGTTAAAAAATTCACTCCCATTTTAAGAGCTATTAGATAGTTGATACAGATAATATTTGATATTTGTCTTGGATTTTGACTTCTTGATTAAAAAAGATATTATATTATCTTTCATCGATAAAATAAAATTCTTTAACTAATGAAAATTATTGAAAATAAAAACTAATTTTAGATAATTAAATTTTGACTTTAAATTATTCTGAAAAGTAAACTGAAAGAAATATTTTAAATATTTAATAAGCTTAATAAATGTACTTTTCTTCAAAAAAAATATTTTATAGAAAAAAAAAAAAAACAATTATTTATATTTAATATATAAAGAAATTTTTTTCCTAATAAATTCTTCTATCAGCGAGAAGTTGAATTTTTTGATAAAAATATTTCTGGTCATCATAAAAATGTATCAACTAAAAAAACTGAAGAATCAAAAGGAATTGATTTATAAATATTGAAATTACATTAATGTATACGAGCAACCTGCAGTCATCATGTGGCTGCCAAGAATTCTGGACTATAAATAAATAAAAATTTGCTTAATTAAATAATTACTTCTGTTAAATTGCACTGTAACTATTGACATTTTTAAAGATATAAGCTCATTTTGATTTTACACTTATCGAGAGCTTTCCTTTGAGTACCCACATGCATTTTCATATATTTTTCATATATACATATATATAAATAAATATATAAAATATATGAAAAATTGATGTGGGTACTCAAATGAAAGGTCTTGATGAGTGTAATGTCGAAGTGAGCTTATTCTTAAAAAATGTCAATAGTTCACAAGATTACAAGGTAATTTCTAAATTATTGATATTTTTAAAGATGTAAGCTCATCTCGATGTTACACTCATCAAGAGCTTTCATTTGAATACCCACATGCATTTTGATATATTTTTCATATATACATATATAATATATATATAAATATATGAAAAATTGATATGGGTACTCAAATGAAAGGTCTTGATGAGTGTAATGTCGGAGTGAGCTTATATCTTCAAAAATGTCAATAATTGACAAGATACAAGGTAATTTCTTAATTATTGATATTTTTAAAGATGTAAGCTTATCCCGATGTTACACTCATCAAGAGCTTTTATTTGAGTACCCACATGCATTTTGATATATTTTTCATATATGTATATATATATAATATATATAAAATATATAAATATATGAAAAAATGATGTGGGTACTCAAATGAAAGGTCTTGATAAGTATAACATCGGGATGAGCTTATAACTTTAAAAATATCAATAGTTCACGTGATAAAAAGTCATTTCTTAATTATGTGTCTAGAGATAGAGTATTTCTGAATGCAGCCTTAATACTTATCATTTTATCTCTGCTATGACACTACATTTCACTAAAAAAATCAATTTATCATATAACTATCCAGGACACAAAATTGTTCTTATCCTCTTAATAATATAGATAAATTTAAAATTTTTTGTTGCAGAGAGTTCTACTTGATATCAGCGGGTTGGGTGGGCGATCAGTCGGATCAAATAAGCATAGTGTGGATGACACGCTCTCAAAATTTATCGGTGGTATCAGCGTACCGGGCGCCGAAGTGGGAATGCGAGGAGAGACACTCGGAGCGTGCTCCAGAAGGGCAGTGGCTTGACGCACAACCGCATCCAGTGTTTGCGTCAGACGGGAGCAGCTTTTTGCTGCTGGCCGCTGTGCAGGAGGGTAACCAGGAGCACTTTACTCATATCAAACATGTCGAGCTTACACAACAGCGAGTCGCGGTGTTGTCACACGGCCGATATGAAGTCAGTGAAATATTGGCCTGGGACAGTCGCGCCCATTTGGTTTATTACCTCGGCACACGTGAGCGGAAACCAGGGCAGAAACATTTGTATGTGGTCAGAGACCCCACGACCGACGACCCGCGACGGCTCGAGCCCCTCTGCATCACCTGCGATCTCGGAGACGTCCTCTGGAGCAGTCGGTATGTACTCGACTCGTTACCTTGCTTGGCGTAATTCCAAATTCAAATTCAAATCCAACTATACGACTGCATTATACAATATTCAGTATGAATTTATCTCCGCTCGTGTAACACCAACGCTTTAAAGTTTTATTTTGTATTTTATGACGAATTGTCTAGGCAAAAAATAAAACATTTGGTATTCCGGGAATGATATCCTCGTTTTGTCTATATACCTATAAATAAATTCTTGAATTCTTGTACGAATCTATTCAGTCAACGATTCAACTCACTTTTTCTTCTTCCTCGAATTGGTTCTGCCGGAATACTTTAGATACTCTGTTGTATTCTACAAATAAAAATGTTATTTCCGAGGATGAATTTACTGATACACAAAGAAAACTAAATTTAACATTATTTTATTGTGCTTTCGTTTGAATTTAAGGGGAGAAGTCCACACAGAAAAAAAGGTTCACTTGAGCCAAGAAAATATTTTTCTTCCTAATTATTTTATTGAGAAAAAAAAATTTTTTTTTGACAAGAAATTTCACTTGTTCCAACAAAATTAATTCTCTTGCTTTAAGAAATACGTATTTTGCTCCAAAAAATTTAGTTCTTGATAGAAGTAAATTTTCTTGTCTTGAGAAAATTTCTCTCTTGCTCCAAAAAATTAAATATAAAGATAGAAGTAAATTTCCATTAATATTTTTATTGATTAACATGTCAAATGGGAAGATCAAATAATATTGAATCATTTTTTTTCATTCAATATGTATAATTGCACGCTAAAATAATATCAAATATTCAAGAGAAAAATTTTCTCAAGGTGAGAAAATTTTTTTTCAGCTTAAGTAGGTGGCGCTGCTTCCCTAAAAAATCTAAAAAACTTGATCAAATATAAAAATTTATTGTATCAAGTATTTATAATGATTTAAATTAAAAAAAAATTACTTCTACCAAGAATAGAATTTAAAGAAAAATTTTTACTCCGGTCTTCCTTCAGGCACCCGACAAATTTTTTTGAACCCAGAATTTTGTTCTCCAGTCAAGAAATTTTTTTTTTCTGTGTTACTACCATCATGATAAATCCATTTTTCAACCGTCTTACTGTAAATAATAGAAAATACTTTGAGTTAACTTTTTCTTATAAATCTAAAAGTCGCATGTGGAACTTTAAAATCCTCTTAAAGTTTTCATAAATCCTATGAATTCTGGGTGAATTTTGAGAATCTGGTTTGAATTTCTACAAAGTATACTTAAATCTTTAAAACAATTTAAATTTCATTAAAAAAAAAAAAAAAAAATCATTTTGCAAATAAAAACTTTAATGAATTGTCAAAAACGAATAAATGTAAAATCAGTGAGTTAATTCTCAGTGACTTTTGAGAGTTAAACTACAAATTATTGCCGATCGAAATCACTAATTCGATTATTAATATTTCGCTGCTCTCTAGAGAAGCATTAGTGGAAAACTGACCGAGTGTCGAAATCAGTTAATATGTTCTACCTCATTTTTCGAGTTCATATTAAACCAGTCATTTCCAATAAATACAAATACATATAATAATAATATTCATATACATAAAAATCGATAATTACAAAAATAACTTGCAATAATAATAACAATATAAAATGTATTTTATTTTTCTAATAGATTCTATTATACCAATTGTACACATTTCGGTGCTTCGGTTAGCCCTTCAACAGAAACTAGACAAGGGTATTATGTGCTCCATTGTGAAGGCCCGGGATTACCTCTTGCTGGAGTTCATTCAGTGACAAACCACAAAATGGTTCGTGTCCTATACGACTCCAGGGTTCAACATGCTGATAGATTAGCTCAATTAGCTTTACCAACTCGCAGAAGTTTTGAAGTAACTAATTAACATTTCATTATTATTATTATTATTATTATTATTATTATAATTCCTGAAAATTATCAAAAATACTCTATCTCTAGATAATTAATTAAAAAATGACCTTGTATCTCGTGAACTATTGACATTTTTAAAGATATAAGCTCATCCCGATGTTACACTCATCAAGACCTTTCATTTGAGTACCCACATCAATTTTTCATATATTTTATATATTTATATGTATTATATATATATGTATAAATGAAAAATATATAAAAATGCATGTGGGTACTCAAATGAAAGCTCTTGATGAGTATAACATCGGGATGAGCTTATATCTTTATAAATGTCAATAGTTAAGAAAGTACAGGGCATTTTAACAAATATCTTGTACACTATTGACATTTTTAAAAATATAAGCTCACCCTGACATTATACTTATCGAGACCTTTCATTTGAGTACCCACATCAATTTTTCATATATTTTATATATTTATGTATATTATATATATATGTATATATGATAAATATATGAAAATGCATGTGGGTATTCAAATGAAAGCTCTTGACGAGTGTAACATCGGGATGAGCTTATATCTTTAAAATCGTCAATGATTAAGAAAGTACAGTGCATTTTAACAAAAGTCATTATATAATTAAGCAAAATTTTATTTATTTATACTTCACAAGTCACAGCAGTCACATAGTGACTGCAAGGTTGCTAGTTTTTATTATTATTATTTTTCATATTAAACTGTGTAGTATAATTTGGACAAATTTTAACTTGCATTAATTTTAATAAACTTTAATAACTTATTACCTACTTAGGTGCCGCTGCCCCAAGGATGGAGAGCCCAAGTCCAGTTGCAGCTACCGCCGTCCTGGCGAGAAGAGCTCCGCGACGCGGCTTTTCCAGTCCTGGTGGAAGTTAATGGTCGACCTGGGAGCGAAGCAGTAACGGACAAGTTCCAAATCGACTGGGGAACCTACATGTCCAGCCACAATGACGTGGTCTACATACGGCTGGACGTTCGCGGTGCGCGGGGCCAAGGAAAAAAGGCCCTGTACCACCGAATCGGGGGCGTTGAGGTCCAGGACCAGCTGACCGTGCTCCAGTACCTTCTCAATACTTACCAATACCTAGACGAGTCCCGGGTCGGCGTCTGGGGCTGGGGGTACGGAGGATATGTCACTGCGATGGTCCTCGGCAGCCAGCAGAATGTCTTCAAATGCGGCATTGCGGTCAATCCCATCGCCGATTGGTTGTATTACAGTGAGTTTTTTTTTTCTTTTACTCTAAAATGTAAAATTAATCTTGCATTGATATATAATGTAAAAAGGATAATAAATAAATCTAACGGTGACTTTTCGAGTGGAATAATCGACTGAAATCAATTCAACTAGATTCAGCGTTCACGGAACGGGTCTTGGGCGCCCCAATCGAAAATTACAAGGGATATGTCGAGGCGGATTTGACTCAGCGCGCAAGATTAGTACCGAGTCACAGCCTCTACCTTGTTCACGGTCTAGCTGACCTAACAGCGCCTTATACACACGGTATAGCCTTCGCTAAAGCTCTGTCTGAAGCCGGTGTTATCTTTAGGTATCAGGTAAGAGTTATCTTTCATATCTTTTAGATTTTTTTTTTTTTAATAACAAGACGTTCATGCGCGTTAATGTTAAAGATTATAGTATATGTCAATCATTAGGAGTTAATAATTCACATTTGCAAAGTGAAAAATTAAATATCGACGTTCTAATTAGCAAATTGTTTAACTTCATTTTAAAGAATCTTCTATTTGTACGAAAAAAATAATTAGTTCAAAATTTATTATCACTTTAAAAAACCATTAAAGCACACTGGGTAAAAAGTACCCACCCCAAAATTTTATTTCGTTATAATTCTTTGTGTATATTTAAACTTCTATAGTATTTTTTATTTATTTTAATTGCTACTAATTAATTTAATATTATATCTATTTTATAGAGAATTTTTTGATCTTTAATTTAAAAAAAAAAATTCTCTAACTTTATTAGGGACCAAGATATTTGAAAATGAAATATGTTGGTTACTTTTCACCCTCAGTTTAGGTTTGAATCATTCAAATAATTTATAATTGGATTATTGCTACATCAAAGTGTTAAAAATCAACCTCTAAAAAAAAAGGAGTTTGACAAAATATCCACGGTGTTAGTCTACTTTCGAATAAACACGCACAAAATCCATGATAAAAGGGCACAACACGGTTACAAGCTTATGTGTTGTGATATTTTGTCTAAAGGAGATTTTGTTGGGGATATTTTGTCGTAGAATCAATTTTGAAACCCTGTAATTTCTAAACTACTTGACCAATTAAGCTCATCTTTGTACTTGACCTTGGTATTCGTCCAAAAATTCAGTATGTTGAGTTTGGAGAAGATTCATTACGAATTAGAGACACTATCGTCCAGACAAGCCGCGTTATCTATACTAATATTATAAAGAGGAAAGATTTGATTGTTTGTTTGTTTGTTTGCACCTCCGATTGACATAGGCTATGTTACATTTTAATTATTTCAAAAATTTTTGTTAAATACCCGTGCGAAGCCGGGACGAACTGCTCGTATCGTATATATACACATACATATATAAACTTTTGAACCGAACTGAGTCAGAAAATAGCCAAATTTTAGGGGTGTACGAATAATTCGAACTTACAAATTATTCGTTTCAAATCGAATAGTAATATTCGATTCAAAATTCGAATCGAATAATTTGAATTTTCAAATTATTCGAAATTCGACGAATAATTCGAAAAAATTCGAATAATTCGAAAAATTACGAATAATTCGAAAAAATTCGAATTCTTTCGAGTTCAAGAGTTAACTAGACTTAGGGGTTTAAAATTTTCGATAAGTTCATTTTTTAATCATTATTATGCATCAATCGAATCGTTTTCACATTCTCTACAAGGATTCTAGGCCAAACAGTTGATTAGATTAGTAACTTGGAAAAAATTTAGAGTTTTCATTTTTACATGTCCGCGTGGCTATTGCTATCAAGACTTATCAAGACTTAACTAGATTAGGGTTTAAAATTAGGGGTGTGCGAATAATTCGAACTTACAAATTATTCGTTCCGATTCGAATAATTTGAATTTTCGAATTATTCGAAATTCGACGAACAATTCGAAAAAATTCGATTAATTCGAATTATTCGAAAAATTACGAATAATTCGAAAAGTTTCGAATTATTCGAATTCTTTTGAATTATTCGTCGAATGTTGATTAATTTGAAAATTCGAATTATTCGGTTCGAATATCAATATTCGATTCGATTCGATTCGATTCGAACGATATTCGCACACCCCTACCAAATTTTCTATACAATCTACTAATAATCCTATCCAGAAAAAGTTTTTTAAAGTAAATTACAAATTTTTTTTAATTAAAAAAAATTTTTTTACTAAAAAAAAAAAAATTACTTTAGCCAAGACTATTTTTATCTACATGAATTTTTTTTAATAAAGAAAACTTTTTTTTCTGTGTGCAAATTACAATATTAATCTACTTAAATTTTTTAATAAAAAATTTGATGTTAAATATAGGACTTAGTTAAATAATTAAATTCTTTTCTGCCAGCTTCTCAATTCTTGTTAAACATACCCCAAAATATGAATAAATAATTTAGGTTACATAAATTGGTAAATCGTTCAAGATCTCGTTGAAAAATTAAGAGCTGAATTTTTTTAGCGACAAAATTTTGGTTAATAAATCGCTTGTGGTATTCATATCCATGTATATAATAAGTAATAATAAATTATAGCCTAGAGACGCGGTAGTATCTTGTACGGAGCATTTAAGCACATGGATATGAGGGTATGATTAATATTAATGCACAAGTCTCGTATAAATTATTGCATGAAATTCTCATACGGTTTTCCTTGGAATATTTTTTTAATAATTATTTTCACGCGAATTTTTTTTTTAAGTATTACGATAGCAATTTTTTTTTAATTATTCAAATATAAAATTTCAAGTATAAAAAACAATGATTTAAAAATAAAGTAAAGTATAATTATGCCCAGAAAAATGATTATTCACACGACAATATCAAAATAAATTTCTATAAAATTAACGACGACAATATTAATTCAACAATTCCACTAAATTATAATGCAAATTAATAATACCTAGTTATGCAATTATAATTATCGCTCTAATGAATAACAATCCCATTAATACAACGACTGAGTACCGTAATTATTTCATTGAAAGATTAAATAAGAAATAACGATTTAATTATTTCAGAGTTATGACATTAATTATAATAATTATTACAGCTTAATATTGAGCGTTACATCACTAAAGTTAAATAAAGTTGCCGCTATAAAATTTTCTCCTCAGAAGAATTAAAAATATTAATAAAAACTTTTAACAATCAAACTTAATTTTTTAATAATACAGAAGTTAGCCGACATCTAAAAATTTTTATTATTAAAGAATTATTAAAAAAAAATTTTTTATTTGTTAAAAACTTCAAAAACTATAAATGAAATTTTTTAAAAATATTTTTTAGTTATAATTTAATAAATTAAGCAAAATAAAAAAATCAAAAATCTCGGGTTACTTTATTATTATAGTTAGCCGACGTAATAAATTAAGCAAAATAAAAAAATCAAAAATCTCGGGTTACTTTATTATTATAGTTAGCCGACGTTTTTAATTTTTTTTAATCATTTAATTAGTACTAAAAAATATTTTTAAAAAATTGCACGTGTAGTTTTTTAAATTTTTTACAGATGAAATTTTTTTTTTTATTTCTTGTAATAATGTTTTTAATAAAAAAATTTATTAAAATTTTTAGATGGTTAACTTAATTTTAATAATTTTTTATTAAAAATTTTTTATAAAAAAAAAATTTAATACTCTTGTGAAATAATTGAAAAAAATAATTTTTACAGATAAAATTTTTTTTTCTTATTTTCTTGTAATAATGTTGTTAATAAAAAAATTTATAAAAATTTTTAGATGTCGGTTAACTTAATTTTTATAATTTTTTATTAAAAATTTTTAATTAAAAAAAAATTTAATACTCTTGTGATATAATTGAAAAAAATAATTTAACCAATAATAGTTGCGATTATAATCATACTGATACCTCTAATCCTCATGTTATCATTGGACGCATGCGACCGCGACAACATAATACTATTATTGCAGAATCTTAATATAATACGCTTGTATATATTTAATTTAACATGAAACCATTACAATGTATCGACAGAGTTGTTTTTATCGGGAGTATTTGGAGGTCTGAAATACCTCAATCCTTTTCCAATGCCATTTCAATCGGCTTTCATTCTTTTTTTGCTGTCGCTATGAGATTGGAGTGCTTTTTTGTTTAGTTTCGTTTAGTATCATACAGTACGTATCATTTTTTACCCAGTAACATGTAAAAGAATCTGAAACATCCGGGTTACAAGAACTAAAAGCCTGGATTTGTCAGGGATTCTCTCCTCCCTCTCCCCACTAATGGATCCATTTTATTTATTTGCTTACTTACTTTTATATACATATATATTTTTTTTTTTTCCAGAGCTATGCGGATGAGGATCACGCTTTAACGGGCGTGATCGAGCACGCTTATCGATCCATGGAGGACTTCTTCACAGAGTGTCTCTCCCTGGATGCCTCCTAGTGCCTCAAGACGATTTCTTGCTCGTCATTAATACTGCGTCTTCTGCTTATAACAGAATTAATACGGTCGTAATTTAATATACATATTAAATAATAAATTAATATAAATATATATAAATATAATTATATGTAGATAGACATATTGATTAATTATTAATATATTTAATACTAATAATTAATAAAAATTATAGATTAAGTGTGTTGTTAACTTAAGAATGAGTGCGTCGGGCTTGTACTTATACTTACTCCCGCGGTTAAACCAAATATTTTTATTTTTATTACTTTGTTTAACAGTTATTTTATTATTATTGTTATTATATTATTAATTATTAGATTTATATTACTATTATTAGTCAATAAATATCGTGCGATCGTTTTACGGATAAATTCAAGTGAATGAGACATTGAAATTAACTGACATTGGAAATTTTTTAACATGAAATTATTATTAAGAAGTATTTTTTTCAATTGTAATTGATTTGTTATTAAGGGGGATAGTCACTGTGAGGATAAAAAAAAAAGGTGATTTTCATCTTCATTGCACTTTTAGTTTTTAAAGTTTTTAACAAATGAAAAAAATTTTTTGTAATAATTCTTTAATAAATAAAATTTTTAGATGTCGGCTAACTTTACTTTAATAAAATTTAATTAGCCAGCATCCGAAAATTGGTATAAATTTTTTATAATAAAAAAGTTATTAAAAAAATATTAAAAGAAAAAATTTCACATAAAGAAATTTTGAAAAATTATACGGGCATTTTTTTTTCTGATTTAATTAGTAAAAAAAAATAAAAAACTGTTGAATATCGGCTAATTTTAGTATCATTGAAATTTCTCAAAATCCATCAAAATTTTATTTTCTTAATAAAAAAAATTTTTTTTTTTTGATAAAATTATTTTTAAAAAATTGCATTTTTATTTTATTAAAATTTCTAAATGTCCATTTTTTTTTATGCAGTAATTTATTTATTATAAAAATTATCAAATATCTGTTAAATTAATTTTCATCATTTGACATAGTGTCACAAAAATGACTATAACTCAAAAAAAATATTTGGAATTTTTATATAAAACTCTATACATATTTTTGAATGACTAAACTTTGATTTAATAATAAACAAAAATTTTTTTTTTTTGAAATTTCAGTGGCTATCCCTTTAAAAATTTTTAAAAATTAGCTTTCAGCTAATTTCAGTATCACTGAAGCCAACTGATAAGAAAAATTTTTAAAACTTTGTAACACTAAAATTATTAAAAAAAAAATTACACATTTAAAAAATATTAGTAAAGAATTTTTTTTAATTGTAATTAATTTATTATAAAAAATTAACACCTGTCAGTTAATTTCAATATCTTCAAGTGATTCCAAAAAAGTCGCGTAGTTTGCTCAATGACTGATTTTAAGATTAAGAATAAAGCTTTTTGGTTTGAGCGTAGAATGTTATTGAGCAGAGCGATGATTACTCATTAAATTAAATAAAATTGAATTAATTATCAATAATTAATTATTAATAGGTTTTACACAATAGTTAGGGTAATTGAGGTTACTGAATATCGTTTACTAGCAATATCGTTACGTCACGTGCAATGTATTGTAATAAGTAATAAGCGATGCGACCGAGGTAGAATTTTAAGGATGTTATGTGTGTCAGCTCATAATATTGATTAATAATAATAATAATAATAATAATAATAATAATTTATTTAAAAGGTGCCGGACTGTAAGAAGAGTGTAGAAAAACAAAATGATTGCTTCGATATATTTGATGTTTAAAGCAATCGCTACCTTTCAAATGGCTTTATTATATTGTTATTGTTATTTCAGTCATAGAACATTTTATTGCTCAATAGCAAATATATTATTTGTGAATTTCGATATTTTTTTATGGCTTTATCTTTTTTTTAGAATAATAATAAGTAAAGTTTTATTTTTATATTATAATATATTTCTTCTTGAGTGTTTGAAAATATTCAGACTAAATTATAAATTTTTAAACAAAAAAAAATTTGAGACAAAATTTTAATTCAGAAAATAAACCTCAATAATTTAAAAATTTACACGGAAAGTAAATTAATTCAGTAGTAATTAATTAATTGCCGGAAATACGTGACTAGTATACTTAAAATTTATTATTTCGATTAAATTCTTAAGCTTTATGAGGGTAGCGATAAATTTAAAAACAAATTAATTATTTAAAGTCATAATATCAAATTATTTGATAATATAATTAAATATATTAATATAAAACGATTGAATGAGTAATTAAATTAGACGCCACGATAATTACATAATAAATAATAACTTCTTCCGATAAATCCCGTCCCCGCGTTTGAATATTGTAATAATCGTCGTGTTACATTAGCTTGTGGCGCCTAATTATTATTATCAATAAGTAAGATAAAGTACTTAAAAAATAAATAATTAAAATAAGTATCCGACACTTGTCATCAACACTTACTATCGTAAATCTCTTGTATATAAATAAAATCTTTTTGAACGTCATACAAGTGACGGGTCGTGTTTTATGGGGGATTACCCGTGGTGAACGAGCTTCGAGGCTGATTTAACTTAAATAATAAAAGTAATAATAATAAATAAAAATTTTGTATTATATTCCCGTAATCGGCAGCTCGCGCAATTTATACGGCTGTTTTTGGATCACCGATTATTATAATTAAACGTGTTGGCTGTATAGAGGATATTTTTATAAATTCGGGATTCCTCGATTTTCTTATAAAAACAATTATTATTAAAAAAGATAAAAATATTAAAAAAAAAAAAATTAATAATTCTAACTATAACAATAACTTGCATGTTAAAACTAAATGCAATTAAATGGTTGATCTCTTTTTACAATTAGTCCCGTTGAGTATAAAAATTTCTAATTAAAATAACTAATGAATTATAAATTATAAATTAATATATTGATACTTAATATTTTACTGTTGAATATTTTTAATTAAATTAAATTGCAATGGTTCTTTATTGACATTTATTGTAATTATAAATTATATGAATTTTATGATAAGTGCTGATATGAGACAAAGAAGAATATTAGGCCTAATCGTTTTTAAATCGATAATATTTTAGTCAATATTTTTAATGTGTTATGCCGATGATAACAACTATTTGTTGACATGTACGATAAATTTATGAGGGACAGAGCGCAGTATAAAATATTGTATATTATATACATAAATACATATACATATTATGTTATATGTATGCATACATATGAGAGATATTTAGATTAGAATTTTACATACATGGTATATATAAATTATAAATATATATATATATATATATATATATATATATATATATATATATATATATATATTGTACTATTATTTTGACAAATGCTCTTCCCTTTCTTCTCTCTCCTTGCACCCGACAGATCACGTAGCTAACGGCTAGTTACGCTTCAGTCAATTGTGATTATTCAAAAATATTATATTATATGTACGTTTATATATCGATTGTAGGTTCTAAATTTTATTATTTTTATAAGATCGCTGGCTTTTAAGTTTGTTAATTATTGGGATAACTATCGTCTTTTTTTAGTGTTAATTAATTTTATTTTATAAATTTATTGTTAAAAAATTCCATTTATAGTTTTTAACAATTTCAACATATGGAATTTCTTTTTATAAAAATTTAAAAAATGTTTCTTAATTTCAATTTCACGATTTTTTTTTATAACACTAAAGTTGACAGTTAAAAATTTTTTTAGAATTTTCTGGTAATTAAATTATTTAAAAAAAAATTTTATTAAAAAATTCCACATGTTAAAATTAATAAAAATTACAAGTGAAATTTTTGAGAAGCATTTTTTTATTGTAATTGATTTGTTCTTCATTCATAATACTAAAGTTAGCCGACGTTTTTAATTTTTTTTCAATAATTAAATTAGAACAAAAAAATATTTTTTAAAATTGCACTTACAGTTTTTTAATTTTTTTACAAATGAAATTTTTTTTCTAATAATTCTTTCAATAAAAAAAAAATTATAAAAATTTTTAAATGTCGGCTAAGTTTATTTTCATGCTAACTTCAGTAATATTTTTTTTTAATAAAAAAAAAATTTTTATAAAAAAATTTTTACAGAAATTATCCATAGAATTTTCTATACAGTCTTGAAAGTAAAACTCAACAAATATTTAATTTGCTATTCATAAAAAAAAAAAAAAATTGTCTGGTACTTTTATTTCACTACCGTCTAAAATTGGCAATTCATCCTCTTTTTTACAGTAATAAATCCTCTTGGCATTACCAACCGATATGTTCAAATCCCAAGATAATTTCGATGGATTTCAGAACATTCCGTCGCTAATGCCAAAAGAGCTACACTTTTTTAATCATCAATCGATCTTCTATAAAAATATCTTGAATTATTTCCATTATTTTCTATTTCTTCTTCTTCTTCTTCATTGAATGAAAAAAAGCGATAGTTATCCTTAAAAAAAAAAAAAAAATTATTATTGATTTTAAAAAGTGAGCGGTCTCAAAACAATTATCACGAGCTTATTGAACTTAAATTAATTAACTTAAAAATATGTAAAAATGTTAATTTAAAAATGATTAAGATTAATTAATTATCAATATTAATGTTAATATAATTTAAAAATTTTTAAATGTTTATTTTATAAAAAGGGGAACTTTGCACGAGCTGCGAACTGTAAATACACCCCATTGTTGAAAGTACGGCGTAATAAGAATCAAAAGTGTTGAATGTGTCTAAATACCATTTAAAATATTAAACTTAAAATATTCAAAAATAAAAATTATTAATTAATGTTAATATAAATATGAGAAATGAAAAATGAAGAATAAAGAGTAATAAAAAAAAGTAAAAGTACCCTTTATAATGAAATGTGTAAGCTGCCATTAGGCGAGTGCATCTCCTGACGGAGCCGTCTACTCATATTTTATGTAAACGCTTCCTGGACTAATATTTAACTTAGTCTTAACCTAGAAATAAATTGTAACTGTAACTTGAAGATACTAGCACCTAAACTAAGCTGTATTAATTAAACTAATAACTAATAACTAATGTAATTAGTCTGGAATCGTCTTTTTTACCGGATATAGTGATATAACGACCTAGTCTTCTTTGAGGATCGACGATAGAGTTATTTAATACTATTAATCTAAGTTGTACTTGCGATGCTTTTGTATTCTGGCTGTTCATATACATATAAATTATATATACATACTTATATTATATTATATATATAAATAAGTCTATATATATATAGATAAATATAAATTTTACTCCCCTATATATTTCTCTTATTGCTATTGACTATCACTTTTATCTCACGACTATTAACTAAGTGCTTCTTCATACCAGAGTCAATTGCATAGCTTTAATATATATGATATATATGTATATCACTCGATAATGTTGTACTTTGTTTTATTATTATTATTATTATTATTATTATGATTATTATTTTAAAAAATTTTATGAAAATGCATGTGGGTACTCAAATGAAACCTCTTGATGAGTATAACATCAGGATGAGCTTACATGTTTAAAAATATCAATAATTAAGAAATGGCCTAATATCTTGTGAACTATTGACATTTTTAATGATATAAGCTCATCCTGATGTTACACTCATTGAGACCTTACATTTGAGTACCCACATCAATTTTTCATATATTTATATATATATTATATATTATATATATGTATATATGAAAAATATATAAAAATGCATGTGGGTACTCAAATGAGAGCTCTTGATGAGTGTAACATCAGGATGAGCTTATATCTTTAAAAATATAAATAGTTAAGAAATGACCTTGTATATTGTCAACTATTGACGTTATTAATGATATAAGCTCACCTCGATGTTACACTCATTAAGAGCTTTCATTTGAGTACCTACATGCATTTTTGATATATTTTTCACATATACATATATATAATATATATAAATATATGAAAAAATTGATGTGGGACTCAAATGAAAGGTCTCGAAAAGTGTAACATCGGGATGAGCTTATATCTTTAAAAACGTCAATAGTTAAGAAGGTACAGTGCAATTTAACAAAAGTCATTAT